TGGGGCTCTGGGAATGGAGCCGCAATACCATGGAGGAGAGACAGGATACATTCCAAACCCCTTTCCAAAGCTGCTGTGTGCACCCTGCCTATCTGGTCACCCACTGAAGAGAAGCAGAGAAGGTATTTCTACCTGTTTGCTAGGAAAGGAAGAGATTGCACACTGGCTGCATGTCAAGGGATGATTTTTATATAAAGGCATAAAAGAGAAAGAAAATGCCAGCAAAGAGCAATAGCAGGTACAGAACAGCTCACACTATGGTGCTTGAGAGGAGCTGGGGCACTTAGGAGCTGGTGATACATATGGGAATGATCCCCAAAAATCGGATTTCAGGGGACATCTCAACTTGTCCAGTTTTCACTGGAAAATTCTGAACTCTGCTGTCTGCCCCAAAAAAGTATGTCAAATTTTTATTAATTGTTCCTTTTGCATTCAAAAACCCAATTTAACCTAATTTTTTGAAGTGTACTTATTTGCACATTTCCATTAGATGGCCACTGAACCATTCAAGAAACTTGTTCGTCCACAGAGCTGATACTTGATGATGGATTTATGTTGCCTCTTAGGTTCCCCATCACAAACCTCATCTCAGGTACCTGTATTTTCTCTTTCTACATTGTTTTGCTCAGAACAGCTCTGCCAACATACGTCACTTACACTGTTTGCAGGTATCACTGTAATTGGCTTTGGCAGTGCAGTAGCCAACCAGTTCACTCAAAATCAGAATACAATACATGACTATTTCTCACAGCTGCCTTACAAGTCTTATGAAAGTTTTGTTCCTTTGCTTACAGGATATATAAGATGGAAATCTCAGCCTTCATAAAAGAGTTGTGAGTTCATTTGGTTCTGCCATCCCATTTCAATTACAGGCTCAAAAATACAAGACAAAAATGAAAACAAACAGCAAAAAAGCTCTTTATGACATTTAAGTTCATGTCATTATTCTTGCAGGTGGAGGATAACAGTTCTTTCTTACTGAGTGGTTGAGACTTGGCATACAAAGTACTGATTTTCGTGTGAGAGATGAATCTGGTAAAACATTTACCAGGTGATGCTAGTTAGCATTCATATACACATTTCCTGGGCTACGCATATAAGGTCAAAATACAATCTGTACCTCATTATTTGGGGTCTTGAAAAGACTGCTAAAAGACTGCTTTTAGCAAGCAGCTGACTCTGAATGAATACACAAAGTAGCATAGCCAAAGGCTACAGTCACAGAAAGAAACATTACAGTCCCTATGTACTGTGACTATGAACCATATTAATATCACCTACAGATAGCAAGACAACAACTCTGTGCGTTAGGTACAGTACAAAGTAAGACATCATTCCTGTCCTGACCAACTCATTTATCATTAGATAAAACTGAAAGGAAAGTCATTCAACACTGCTCACCTGATCATTCACAGAAAAGGAAAAACATAAATCTCACCAGCCACACCAGCTCACTGGATCCTCTTGCCCTTTATGCAGGTATGGATAAAAGCAAAGGGGGGCATCATCAACTAGCCCTAGGTAATTTTTTTTCCCCAAAATTCCTGGGAAAGTAAATGAAAGAAAAGATAATCGATTTTCAACACAGGTTTTCTACCTGCTTCATCATTTTCTGGCAGGGGAATACATACACATAACATAAAAAATGTCTAAGCAAATGAGTTGGAAAATGCTGTGACAAAACAGAAGAGAAACTTTAAGATGCTGCATAGTGGAAATAGAGTGCTAACAAATAGGTCACAGAAGCACACCAATAGCCCAGATAATGTCCGCAAAACTTTTAATTCGGGAAGATGCTTGGCCAAGATCCCCAAAAGCAGCTCTCTAAAATGTAACCCACAGGTAACCCGCACTCAGGGATCTAACCAAACACCGCTAGTTTCCCAAAGTCATCAACAGCCCAGCACTTTCCCAGACCATGAGCATCTTTTCTTGTTGCAGATGCACACAGAAGTGGAGTGAGATTTCCTTCCATGATTTGTTCTCATCCCATCAACTTTGAGGCCAATAACTATAAGAAACTGGCAAGTATTCTGAACTGCATAATCTTTGTTATTCAGTTTCATCTTTGTCAGAATATTCCAAAGGCTCAGTTTCTGCAGTTGGGGCCAGCTCCTCAAAAGGGTTCAAATGTGAGCTAGGCATGTAAATATGTACAGTTCAGTATTTTTACTACAAGACTTTGAGAAATGTTTGGACACTCAGCTGTACACTACACAGTTTTAGCTTTTTTGAAATTTTTTGTAACATCTTTTGCTAAAGATCCTCAAAAATTTACCCATCATTTTTTTCTGTATCTAATCAGACCTGAGATTTAATGAATTAATTTATTTTTAACTTGCCCTTCTTTGAAAAGTCTGTTCTAAAGTCCATTAAGAAAACTCCTCCCCTGTTCTTCTACCAGCTAGGATACATATTTACCATTCAAATTCTTTTTAAGCTTTAGTATAAATCAGAAGGGACTTAAGTTATACCCTGTGCTTCAGCTGTTTAATTTTGCTCCCCCTTCTGTCTGTATCAGGTGATCACTCTCACTAGATTTAAGGTATTACTGTCTGTAGCAGGAATTCTCTTGCTGCTTTGTTTGCATAGCAAACGTAGTGGGCTCCTGGCCCACACCAGAGGTCTCAAAGACCTCCCGTGAAATAAACTATGAACAGCAAAATATCTGGGGGCAAAGGCCACAAAGCACTGTTCCTGTGAAACATCCTGGTGATGTTGAACATTTCTTCTCCTTGAAGGCGAATTCTCTGAATTACTGACTTCCCAGAAAATCCTGCTCTGGGTCAAGGTGCCACATGTGAAGTTCCCACCAAAAGGAGGGGAGAGAGAGTGGAAACAAAACTAAAGGGAACTCAGAACAGTCTTTGACTCTGGAAACCTGGCACAATCTTTATTGATCTCATGTGCACCTTTCTAATTTTGTCTTTGAGTATAGATTGTCTATTTTCACCCATTATTGTTTGTTTATTCATGTGTTTTACCTCTTGGTATGTATTTTACTTGGCTGATACAACAAAAGCAAAAAAAATCAATAACGTTTCTATTTGCTCTGAAACCTGTTTGCCTTTGCAGACCAAGACTGAGCACACACTTTACCTATTCCCTCAGAAGAAAGGGAGACTCCAGAACATGTGGGACCCATGGTGAAGAGTGTGGCAGGGAAAGGCAAATGTTTACATGGTCATAGCACAGGGCTGGGCTTCATTATTTTTGTGTTTCATTCAAAGGTGACTGGGAGGCTTTTTGGAGTCCTTCCTTCTAAGTTAGTCATAAATCAGCAAAAGTACTAGGTTTGTGTGATCTCTGAATTACAAAGGCTTTAATACAGAAAAATTAAAGCTTTGATGTATCTCTTCCCTTGCACAACCACTCAAAATACCGAGAAGTTGAGCCTGGATTATTTGGTTACTTACACACAGAATTCAGTGTTAGTTTTGTGCAATACATATCTGTGTACGGTAACAGTGAGTGTCAGAGCCCATGTTAAATGGCCAACCAAAAGCCTCAAAAGGCAGCTGGAATCTTAGACTACTGAGATTGGTTTGTGCTCCAGAACAGCCCTTGATTTGCCAAAACAGACACTCAGTTTGAAATTCCCCATGCTGCTAATAGAGGAGATACTGACAAAAATCATACAGCTGCAAAAACTCCCTTATGCTCCTTCTCCTCAGATGTAAGCGTTGTGATTGCAAGTCCTCTTACTTTGTCCTATTAACCCTATTTGAAAGTGACAAAAGGGTGGTGAATCTGCAAGCCACTGATGATCTGATTTGCTTATCAAAGATGGAAAATGTTTTCCCTGACACTGTTTCTCCCTAGGCACACAAAACTAGTGAGTGGTCTAACATGGCTTGCTCCTAAATTGATAAACCTTGAAAAAAATATGGCAGAATTCTAGTTTTGGTTATCAGGGACAAAATAATAACAGCTATTTTTTCTGCCATCTATCTCCATTGTATTACATTTTTCATCCTAAATGAGCTCTTCTCAGCATCTCTTATTCAAATCCTAAACAAGTCACCTAAGATACAGCCCACACTGAAGAAGCCAAAGAGAGGAGAAAATGGTCATTAGAAGAAGAGATGGAAACAGTTTAAAAACAAAAGCACTAGCCATACTTCCTCCATGGAGGATTTCACATGCCTTGAATAAACACAGTGCAAAAGAGCCCCTTTATGCTACTCTCTGGGCTGCCAAAGTAGCAGACTGCTACTCACAGAAGTTTCTGCTGTGAATTCAGGCATGGCTCCAGTGTTTGAAAATACACAATATTGATAGCAACCAACTTGTATATGCAATCAACTATGGTTCTCAACTTGAGCAATGAGATTTTACCTTTCTGACCAAAGTGACTACCTTTTCTCAATCCTACAGGATGTTTGCCTACATTGAGGGTAACTCCCTCAGACTCGTTGGAGAGTTCCTATAAAGCTCAGTTAATGCTGCAGTATTGATATGACATGTTACTTGTGCTGTGCTAAAGACAGAGACTGACTCTACAAATATCAGTGAGAATCTGTCGGTTCTGCTCATGACTGAGTATCCACTTGGCTGTGAGGTTAGTCCCCTAAATTTCTTTCAACTAGCCATAAACAAAGTTAGTTGAAGACAAATTGCTATGCAGACCACTGCCATGTCTAGCAATTTATTGAGGTCTCCTGCTTGAATCACAAGCATGCCAGAAGGCACTCAGAGATCTATCTTTAAGCAACCACACTAATTCTTCCTTACAAGTCTCACATGACTATAAAAACTCTTGTTTCTAATGAGATTGTCTACAACTTTCTGTAAACTTCCATTCCAGATTAATCACTACATAACGAGACAACATTGTTATTACTTTCTCCATCAAGTATACAAGGGTCTTTACATAGTGTTGCAGGGCTCCAGGCAGAAATCTTAGCTGCACCATTCACTCCAAGATCTTTCCAAATTCAAATGCTGTTCATGTCTTCAGGAATTTTCTGTTCAATTTTACAATTGTGCCATTTTCTTACCTTTATCTCTGCTCCATGTAGTCTGTTATGTGCTGCTCAGGGCATCCTTTGACCTCTGCATCCTCTGGTGTCAAAAAGACTCTTAATTGGAATTCATCAAAATGATTCCTGAACACTCCCCAGAAGACAAGTCAGAGGCTTCCTTAGCAGAACCAGATTCTGCAGGTCACAAGAACACAAGAAAAAGATGACAATTGATTAGATTACAAAGCAGCAAATTCAAAGCTGATTAAAATTTTTCCCCAACAGTTTGTATTTTGACCAACTGAACTTTTAACCAAAGGAATCACCATGATACCAGAAAAGACAGGACAGTTTTATAGGCAGAAAATAATCCAGGGTTATGAGCATTCAACAGGCATTCTGGAAAGCTATGAACATTTCTGGGATTCAGCCAACCTGCAGATTACTTGAGCTCACAACAAACTGCAGATGGTTCCTGTGTCTGCCCTCTGCACAGTTCCACTTTCCTCTTAATAATCTGTTGAGACTACTGCTAGAGATGGTCAACCAGTCAAAACACAAGCCTGGCCCAGTCTTACAAATCCGATACTCCTACATCCACAGACTGAGCATTAAAAGTGAGGAAACTCAGCCTGCAACTCTAGCTTACATTTCTAATCATGGAGCCTGCTGCAGGAGCTGCATATTGAATAATTCCAAGTCATTTGTCTTGCCACCTTAGCTACTTACCTATTATATCCTGTTCAGTTCTAAATGCAACCTTCTTTGAGCTTATTTTGGTTCATTTTGTGTCCACTGTTTTATCCAGAGTTCAGTTTTGAATCATTGCCTCTTCAACCACAGGAGTTTTTTCATCTGTATTTCACAATACAGAAAGATTTGGTGTTGTTTCAGGTTTTACTGTCTCTTTTCAGGGATAATTTTTTTATATAAAAATGTTTGTGTTTCTGTCTCAAAGCTTCAGTGTTATAAGTGAAAATATGCCCATTTATTCCTTTAATGTGTCCTATGTCATGTTCACCTCACTGGCTCAGGACAGCCTGATCATAACCATTTTTCTCAGAAGCTTGATTTGCCTTCTGTATCCACCACTGTCAATCAGACCTCTGAAGTCAAAAGAGTTACATTCATGTAAACAGTGCGTAAGCGAAACTGGAATCAGGCACTGACTTTTAAGATAGCTGTTTTCAAGTTCATTGCCACAGCTACCCCAGAGGAGACTCCTACTGCACTGTGATCATCTTGTCTGGTCTCTGATATGAGATACCATAGGGCTGCTTTGAATTAATTCCTGCTGCGGGTCCAATAGCTGGAGCTGAGCTAAGGGAATCTGTTTCTGAGGAGCATTTGCCACCAAGTATAAAGGTTCAAGTGCTGGAAAGTACATTGAACCCTAACTATAGTATTTTGACAGCTGATTACCTGCACTGTTGGAAATACACACATTATTTCTGGCTGAATTTACCTGGTATCAACTTATAACTGCTAGAGCTTCTCAGATATTTGTACTTATCTTGCAGAGCCCTTGCTACCAAACTGTATGTTCTTCATTTTGGTTCATGTTTATAAACTGTAATACTACAAATCTTATTTTTAATGAGAAAAAAAAACATTTATAAATAACCTGAGTTTAAGTTTTATATCACTGTGTGAAGTCCCTCTTAATAAAAAGACACTCAGTTCCTATACAAGCACTTTCTCATTATCAATCAACAATGTTTCTGTTCTGTGGGACTGTAACCCACCAGGTTGGCCCAGTTCAGACTGGTCCTTTCCAAGCACCGCATACATCTCACAAGTTTTCTGATTAATCTCTGTTTGCATGACTTTTGTGCAGACAAATCACTTCTCAGTTATTATTGCCACCATTGCCAATTTGTGTATGTCGGTTCCTACACGTATTTTTGCTTGTTGTCTTAAACTACAACAGAGTGGGTCCCCACCCCAAACAGTGTAAATTTACACTTCAGAATCCCACATAAAAAATTGATACACTCGTGTGTTTTCTTCTTAAACTCGATTTTGTTTCATCCAAATTGAATTTCTTTCTGTCTTTGGTTGGTGTTAACATCCATGCTGTAGCACATGCGTGTGCACACATACCCACACTTACACGTTCAGAAGTTGTGAAGTCAGAAGGACTAAAATGATCATCTACATTGCTCTGACTAGAAACTGAATCCATATGCTGCAGACATGACATTTTAATGACAATGTAATTACGATGTAATTTTAATTATATTGGGAAGTCCCTCCTTGTCCCAATCTTGGATGATGTGAAATGATGTAACCTGGGATCGTCAGTGGCTCATATGGGATCAGGCACTCCCTTCTGATCCATACTGAAGGGAAACGGGAAACCCAGACTATGGAATTTGCTTTGCAATATGTGATTCCTCCTTGGATGTCCTAAGCTAGAAGACACAACAGATACCAATGCATCATGAGGGGCTAGACATCACTCATGCCTACTGAAACAGTATTTGGGCACATATCAGCATTTTGAGGATTAACCAGATGTGTCCCTAGCTTCCCACTCACTTTGGTATGAGGGAGAAATAGAGATGTAGGCATTACAGGTGGAGGCTCCTGGATGAGCCCCAGAGACACCATATAACAACGATGAACTTTTACTGCCGGGGTTTTTTCTTTCTTTTTTTTTTTTTACTCCCACGCCATGGTGCAAATTGTGGAAAAGCAGCATCGTGACTCCTGTCATGAGACGAGTGGCACTCCCTTCCTCTTCCCTTCCTCTCCCAATCGTTCATGTGCATTATCCATTGCACTGAGCTGTAATGGAGGGTGCCAGAGAGGAACAAATTTTTTCCTCTCTCTTTCTTTTTAATTTTTTAAACAATCTCCTCTTCCACCTCCCCTTTCTTCTACTCCTCCTCTTCTTCATCCTCCCACCCACCCCCATCCTGTCCATCTCCCTCATCCCACTCACACACCACTCTCCCCCTTTACCGGTATCCAACACTGTCAACCCAAACACATGATAAATTGCCCTGTCAACAGAATTCATTCAGGGACCAATTAATTCCACAGAAATGAACCAGGAGCCATCAGTTGCTGAAAAACTCCAAGTGCAGGGAGCGAGGAAGCTAGCTTTGTGTGTGTGTGTGTGTGAGAGAGAGAGAGGCTTGGGAAGTTAGTCTGACAGAAATTGGTCATTTAATGCTTAAGTGCACCGTAGACAGCCCTGTCATAGCAGCCGGCATGGCAAAAACTCCCCCAGTGCTTTATTTATTAATTATGTGGAGCAGCACGGGGGTCACTTCACTGTCTCAATACAGACTCATCAACTTTACTTCTTGTCACTGGAAGAGATCCCACAGCATGTGGGATAGAGGGCCAGGCCTTATCCTGACTCTGTCTCCTGCCATCCTGCTACAATACAGGCTAGACACAAGTTTGCAACCTGTGCCCTCAGTGAGAGTGGGCAGCGGCAGGCAGGGACACAAGAACAGTCAGAAGTGGGAGGTAAACCATTATCCTGCTACTGCCCAGCTCTGGAGCAGAGGTGGTGGGAGCCTGGAGATTTCATTTGCAAAACTTCCTCATTATCCTCCTTCAAATTCTCCTTAGCCGTGATGCCTGCAAAAATCTGACAGCAGTTAGGCTGCTGATGTATTATGAGTACTGCCTATCCTGCTGATCAATAGCGTCTCATTGCTCCTTTCTGTATTCCCTCAGCTGTCCATACTAGCCGTTGCTTCTTGACTCATATTTGTAAGGTCTCTGAGGGCAAGACCATCTTTCTCTCACATACAGGTACAGCACCAGGCACCACCAGATTCTGATCTCTGAGAAGTGTCCCTCCTCAAATGGTAGTAACAGAAATAATAATAACAATTCCATACTTCCACAGAATCACTGAAAATATGGCTGAAGTTGACCTTAGGAGATTGTCAAGACTATGCCTCTGCCAAGGCAGGATCAACCACTGTTAAAGTACTAAACCTTTTTTGTCTGGTGTGTTTTTAAGAACAACAGCGAAGGTCACACAACCTCCCTATGCAGTCCACCCCAGTGCTCCACTACCCCATTCCACTCTTCACCCTGCTGTGGCTTAAGGATTTGAAAACATTCAATTCTGTCACAAAAAGCATCAGGCCCCAAGATATATCTCCACCTTTAAATAAGAGAGAGAAGTATGTCTCTGCCATATGGCATAGATTTACAAACGATGCATGGGCTGCTCTTCACATTCTCATGTCTGCTTGGAAAACAATGGGATGCATTCTGATTTAATCCAATATAACATGTATTTTTCAATTGGGTCAGTAGAACTAAAATTTCATCCTCCATTTAAAAGCTGAAAAACACAAAGAAATCCTGGGAGTGGTGGTTTTGCACTGGCATGGCAGAGTTTAGGCGCCTCTGAGAGTTAGCTGCTCATTCAAGTGCCCTACTGAAGAAGAAAGAACTCCTCCTTCACACATGATGTCCAGTGAAGAACTGCACTGTTGGAACCCTTCCAGTCCACATATTATTTCATCTGATGCCTGAAGAAACAGAGCTATACCTCAAAGTTTTGGGTTCCTGGTCTGGATTTTCCTAATCTTTGGAAATATTCAAATATGAGGCTTAAGTGCATTTCTTCTGCAGATGTCTCTCCAAATAAACACCTGTCCCTCCATGCTTATCAGTGCAATAGGGAGATACAAACCACAGCAGAAATCTGAGTTGGTGAACCACCGCAGTTCTATCTTGGCAGAAAGCTGTTGCCTTCACCTCTCCTAACCCCACTGAGGTCCACTCTAAAGAGGCCAGAAATCCTTGCCCTGCCTATCACAGTACACAGAGGGGAGAACACACCTAAAGTTCAGATAGACCCTCCAGCACATCGGATGGCATACTAGATTTTGTTAAATGCCACAAACAAAAATGTATCCTCATGATTTGGAGCTACCAGTAAGATCCTTCTAAAGCTTAGAGGAGACGCTGGAGGGATATACTAGACTGCTTCCTTGTACCCATCCCTATCCCAGGGGTAATGTTCCAAGATTACAGCTCCACAACCATCTATTTATGGCTTCACTCTCTCAGTAGTTACTCAGTAATGGGTAAGTTTTAGTGTATGATGGAAGGTACAAATCTGATCAGGAAACTCGGTTGACAAAGGACTATTTAAGTCACACAGGATCCTTATAAATCCCTTCCAAGATCAATCATAGTAGTGTTTCTCAATC